GCGGCTCCTCCGAGACTTCATTATTCATAGTCTTGATATGAAGCCAGGCTTTGTAAACAGGTTTGTGTCTTTCGATTATTATCCAGTTCCCCTCCTTGTTTGTGTTTCTCTGTCATTAAACCAGCTTGCCTCTGATTCAATCCAGCTGATTATCTCCCTGCTTAACACAATTAGAGTAGGAACACGATGGAATCAAAACACAGCCTTTTGATTCAGCATCTCATGTTAAGCATCCTAAATTATAAGCAGTACAGAAGGTAGATTACACTGTTTGAGTCATTTAAGATCTGCACTGTTAGCAATGTTCAATAGGTCCAACATGATGAAGAACATTTTGCCTTTTTGGATACTAATAATGAAAACCACACCACATGAAAAAAGCAGTGGGGGACCTTTAATGTGGCACCCACATCATAATATTCATTATGTCTGGTAATTTCCCGACATGGAAGTACAACAGCCAAGCATCAAAGGTCATTTTGCAGGACCCAGTGCACCCCAAGGTATAAATGCAAATGCATTTCCTTCATGATGTTTCCATCTTACAAGATGATAATGCCTTCTTGAACATGTGAGTTTTGTCATTAACACCTCATTTTTAGGTGTTTTCTTAAATTGATGACCTCCTCTGTGTTGCAGTGATAGTTAACATCACGGTCACTAGGAATATCTGACCTTCTGGTTTTTTTTAGAGCTTTAAATTTGTTTGGAGTCGAATATCTTGTTATATTTTTCATCCATTTTCCAGGTCTCTCCGCGTGTGCTGCAAAACTGTAACTTCTTTACCTCAGCACCATCCTGAAAATGTCAAGGCCTGAAGCCCTGTATGAATAAACACTAAAATAACCGAGGAGGGAATTTTGGTCTTATATCATGGCAACCTTTTGTTTTCACTTAGAGGCAAAATATAACCTATAGCCAAAACAAAACCACAGTGAATCTGAATATTTCCCCTGTCATGCATGTCCAAACTTTCATTTGACATTTACTGCAGGCAAATAAATGCTGTAGGAATGACATGATATACTGCCCGCTGACAAACAGGCATCCTAAAAGTCAAGACAAGATAAATTTATGCTTTTATAGTATGGAATTTATGGGTAAAAGTATAAACTGTAAGGATTGTATTCTGCAATGTATTCTCCTCTTACAGACTTGAGACAGCAGGCCACTGGGTGTCTATGCGTCAGCGGCCCACCTTCCCAGGGTTCTTCCAGGCAAGACTCTATGTGAACAGCTTTCCTAAAGACACCTTCATCAAACTCCCTGTAAGTTAGACAGAAATCACTGCAATCCAAAGCCTCAAAAGCAGACGTTAAGTTTATTCAACACGGAAAATGGAACATTAAAATCTTCAAACTGATAGTATTTGTTACAGGGATATTAATATTGGATAACATTATGATACACTGACTGGCATTTGTGTTATTTCACCCAACCTCTCATTTATTCACAGTGAAAATGAAAGTTTAAAAAGATCAAGCTAAAGCATAGAATAAATCAGATATGAATGTCAAGTTTTATGGCAAGTTTTACTTCCTTTTGATTTAACAGAAATCAATCTGTCTCAAGATAATTTACATACAATACTATTTAATATTATTGATTATCACACCTCCATCAAAGAAACTGAAATATTATTATGATTTGGTCACTCTTTTGACTCAGTTAGTCTTGACTTCATTGTTGATACACATCTGAAAATTATAAAAATTTTCATTATGTCCCCAGAGAACGATCTCTTTGAGAAACTTCACTGAGCGCTGGCTCACTCATAATTCAATGGATATATTAAGACAACATAAATATGGAAATTTCATTCAGTCTGATAGTGAGACCATCTTGATCTTGAATTGGTCTTTGCATAAAAATATGTTGTGATGATGATTCTATTCTTATGCAGTTGTACATAATGCAGTTATTGATTAAGTCCAGTGCTTCTTTCATTTCCATCCAGACTGTAACTTTCTCACGGTTCCAGTGCTGGATGTAGAGAAGCTAAGAGCTGTAATTAACAGAAACCCAGCATATTAAGCCCAAGCTGCACATCATATTAGAAGGGAAGGCTTTCATGTGTTGTTTGTAGTCATCAACACGTTTCCTTTTTTACTCATTAACCTTTAATTGGGTGAACCTGCCTGTTGTTATGGTGAACAGTAACTGGTTGTGTTTACAGGGATGGATTAAAGGCGTCATCTTTATCAACGGCAAGAATCTTGGACGTTACTGGTCCATCGGTCCGCAGCAAACTCTCTATGTCCCAGGCCCCTGGCTTCACAGGGGGGACAACCAGGTACTGTCTTATCTACACTTACATGAGCCTACCATTCAGGGGAAACTTTTATAAAAGTGTCCATCCACAATCCACATGCACATTTATATTCCCACACGTTTTTGTTTGTACCACTTCAACCAATTAAATCCAATCTCAAAGTTGGTACCCGACATGTTTGATGGCGGCTGATGGCGGAATTTGAATGGCGGCCAAATTCCTTAAGGCCTCCTTGAAATAGTAATTAAATTTAGCCACATCTAATTAGAGCTGCAACAAATGACTATTTTCATTATCAATTCATCTGCTGAATAATTGATAAATCAGTTGGTTGTTTTGTCAATAAAATGTCGTAAAAATGCCCACCACTGGTTAGCAGAGCCCAAGGTGACATCTTAAAGTGGCTTGTTTTGTCTGACCAACAGTGTAAAACCCCAAAATATTCAGTTTGCAATTATATACAACAGAGCAGAGCAACAAATCCTCCTTTCTCACTGGGGAACAGGCAAATGTTTTATTTATTTTTGCTTGAAGAAAGACTCAAATGATTAACCAACTAACAAAATAGAAACTTGTTTAATTTTCTCACGATCAATTAACATTTCAGTTCCGCTAGTTATGTTTTGTATCATTGAAATGACAAATTTAAGGGACTGTGCAGCTGTGGCAGAACATGTCGTTTGAGTGGAATCTAGCTCTTTTAGTTATGTGGTCTTCATGTCCACTAAGTAAAAGCATATCACAGGTCAGCAGTTACAGTAGCTTTGATGTTGTTGACCTCTGTTGCACTTTCTGGAAAAGGCCTGAAGCTACATCTACCGGACCTATGCGTTTCTTGCCTTTTCCAAGTTTTCTTTGCTGTGAGTGTACATATACTGACATTGGTGCTCAACCACCCACTCTCGCTGCCCTTTCATGACCTCGCTAAGCTGGTGTTTTTTTTTTTTGCTTCATCACAGGTCATAGTGTTTGAAGAGCAGGAAACAGATGGCAAGATCCAGTTCGCCAGCAGCCCTGACTACGGCATGGCTGTCGATGTCCAGTGAGGACAGGAGGTCAGAGGGGAGGGTGGATGACGAGAGGAGGAGGATGGGAGAGTAACTGGGGAGGACAGGATTGAGGCGACAGCCATGGGTTTCGTCCACTCGGCAGCAGCAACCATGAGCACTCAAAAGTGACACGTCAGTAAACATGACATTTTGTGTCCTACCAGAAGATGTCGATGCAGCAGTGTAGTCAGCTTCCTCACAGCCATTTCTCATTAAGTGACTGTATATATGACATTCTGTTGAATCCTTTTTATTCGGTTTAGCAACAGTATCATTAACCTCCACCCATACACTGCATAATTAAAGACGAAGGGGCTGTGACAGAGAATGATCTTGATTATAATAAAGTGCTCGAAAATGTCCTCTTCTGACTTAATTTATAAATTACTCCCCGGTTGTATGAAAATAAATGTGTGAATAAAGACTGGTTTGACTTCTGTGTCAGTAGCCAAGGCCAAGGAATCTTGAGTACTGCTTTATTTATTTTGCATACCTGTTTGATATAACACTGATTGCTTTTCAAATTTACCCTGTTATAATATGCTGTGAGCTCCTGCAGAGGAGTCAAGCTCAAAAGCCTTGTTTGAAGATCATTTTCTGGAAACTCATCCGTTGTATGTGTTGCTATAATTATTTCCCTTAAAGATTGATGCTGCTGTGAAACTATGCTGTCACATTTGAAGACTAGGCGGTTTTGGCAAATGACATTATACGAAAAGGTTATCTATAAATTGATAGGGAGTCAGCTTTCCTGTGATGTTGAAATCCTGGCGTCAGTTACACCAGGTGCAGTTCAAACTTAGCCTGGTTTTAACCAAGCGTTTTGCTTAGTGGAGATGAATGCATCACTCAATTAAAATGGTTCCCACTATAGTGTAGTTCTTAAATAGGAATAGCTGTTACTAAAATTTGCTATATAGCTATCTATCAGAACAACCATACATTAGTAAGCTAACATCAAAAAAGCAGATTAAAGCATAATTCACAATCACACTGCATGAATTACAAAACATTACACAATAGACCATGACGCTGGTAAGATTAGTGTAATGATTCTGCTAACCTGATATGTGTTTAGGCTGTAATCGCACATTTCCCCTCAATTTAAATTGCATGAATACTACTAATGCTAAAACAAAATTTCCTCATGTATGTATATTTAAATAAAACATACATACATTTAGAAATAGTTTGCATGTAGGTTATATCATTTGGCTCCTTAAGATGTTTTTAAAGTTATGTTACTGCTAGCTAACTTCCTATCCAGCTTATTTAGCTTAACTATCTTATTTATACATTACTAAAGTTTTAACAAGCTATTCCTTATGCATTTATGGTGCAACCTGATAGTGAATTGCTACAGTGAGACTAGCTAGCTGTTACTTAGGACTTATGAACGACCTGACACATAAATCTTTGTATGGATTGTTGGGGCAACCCGATCCAGTCAAAGCTTTATAAAAAATATCAAGGAATTCTACAATGAGTATTATTTTACTAAACGTATTTGTAGAATTATGAAAGGTTTCTCATATTTTATATAGTGGTTCGCTGTGTACAACATGCATTTAGGCTCTCCACACATGCCCACAGGCCAGATGTGACAGACACACATCAACAACACACAGTGTAAAGACGTCCACTGGACAGAACACTCGGGACCAGGTGAGATTCTTCTCAGTTGTTTATTATTTCTCTTGATTCAACTAATACATCTTTCTCTGAGACAGAACTGCTGTGGCAAATAAACAACCTTAAGAGTCACATGCATAAAATGTGAATCACATGAGGCTGTGGAAGATGACAGTGGGGATGAGGAAAAGAGGATTTGTGTGTAAAGTGTATTGTGCCTTAGAGAAGCCCTCAGAGGGTAACGCTCACTGACATTAAATACTGGATAACCTGTACTGCTAAAGTTGATGCATATGTAGTAGACTAATTCTTAGAGTATTAGATATTGCACGATGCGTCATCTGTTGGAAGCAGAGACATTTCAAATCAGATGTCAGACAACGTTGTAATAACATCACTTTCAAGATGAAGCCCTTTGGATTGTTCTGCTGCTTCAGGACATACCATAGAGAGTAACAGAATATTATTTAACCAATCCAACCACATATTGATCTGTACGCCACATGTCGTTTGTTTGCCTGCATCTTTACCAGAGCAACACTTAGGATTAGAAGAAAAGCTGGATTTTAGGTCCACTCGACAAGTAAATGATATACTGCAACATCCAGGAAAACTTGTTTGCACAAAACGAAAACAAGTTATGCAGCTTTTTTTTTTAAAGGAAAGTGTTCAATTTAAGTTGTTTACACGCTGCCGTTTTTCCATTTCAGACTACAACTCTAAATTTGTTTCAGTGTAAAAAACACTTTAGGTGGATTCATCACTCATTTAGATTAACATCTGATAATAACCATTCAAGAAGAACTTAAATCCACAGCAGTGCTGTAAAGTAGATGGTGTGTGTGTGTGTGTGTGTCTGCTTGTTGGTATGGCTAACCTATGACTGATCTACATGATAATCCCTGTCTACAGTATAACGTATATGCACATGCTGTTTTAGAGAGCAGCCGGAAAATACAGATTTAAGGGCAAACACTGCTATGATTTAATTGCACATCCACACTTGAAATAAATACATAAATATATTAAATTTGATCTTTAATAAATAATGGGAGGCAAGTTGAAGAATAGAACAAATCCAAAGACAGTCTGTGATCTCCATGGCCGAACCCTGTGCAGTTTAATATCATGCAGTCAACGAAAACAGCCAGTTTGATGCGAGATACAACACAGCCATTGTCTGAATGTGTTTCTTATCGTATTCCAAGTGAAATATGTAATAACACGGTTTCTCCGGCTGATGAGCCCAAGAGGCTGTAACGTCTTTGTAAGTTTTCATACTGCAGCAGTGTAGTTTGTGTTGTGTGTTTTGGAGGGGTGGGGAGGTGGGGAGGTAGGGGTACACTGAGATAATCTGGCACCAGTACAGAGGCTCAGTGTTTGAATTATCTCCAGCTACTTCCGCCGGGCAATGTTAGATAAGAGCCACCACTGTGTATTGCACTAGACGGATGATTTATCAAGTAGAGGAGAGATTCTATTATATGAGGTGTAGAATAACTTTGTTACAGTGTTCAGGCGTACAGCGTCACAGCTGATGTCTATCGTTAGAGCTTCAGTGACTCCCTTCTCTGATCTGAGTTAATGTACAACAGATGGATGCTAATACAAAAAGAAACCAGGAGATACCGACATCAGTCCACAATACTGAAGATGGCGACATTGCTTCCAAGTCATCAGCGAAAATAAGACTTTCACTATTGTTGTGCTTTTCTCTAGTCTGCTGTCACTTCCGAGTAGCATGTACTGTTTTATTTCATAAGTGGAAGTTTTTGTTAAAAAAAATAAATAAATAAATAAAAATATTTCGGGGCCATGCATAAGTTATTTTAATCTATTATTCATAATTTACACCAGCTGTTGGGAGGTGAGTTGTACTAAAAGTCAGCAGATGTAGCCTGAGCATCTAATTTTTTTATCTAAAGTGTATTTTTCAGAGAGGAGAGGTGCCAACAAGCTTAGTGAAACCATATTCTCGACTCATATTCTTTTTTTTTTTACTCACAGCGGACCCTTGTTAACCTGTGGCTCGTGTACATACATGTATATGAGCGTGCATAGAAATAATTAACTCACTAAGATGACACACTGTTTCCCCACAACCTCAGAAATGACACTGAATGCGAAAGCTAACATGAGGATTAGGTCAGCGATCGTGAGCCTTTCATGTAGCTGACTTGATGTTCTTGGCTATGCCTTATGAATGTGTCACAAACTGGAGTTTCTATTACCAATTGAAAGTGGTGGTGTGCTATTACTCTTCCCACGTGTTGAACCTAGCATGAACCTGTGCCTTGTCGTGTGTCACTGAGGAATTCACTGGGAGCGGGGAGAGAAGAGACTTTTTTTTTCACATATAAATACAGTAATTACAATGCTTTTGTCAAAATTTGTCATTAATCCTCTGATTGTTCTCATGTTGGATTACTATTTACACATGTTGCCACAAAGGAACATCGTTTGTGTATTTTTTTTAAGTGCTAAGAAGAGTGTTAGGATTTTGTTGTTGTACATGTACGTTTCAGCTCTCGAGCACGATAAGGGGAACATCTCAAACAGCAGTCTCTCTCCAAGTGTACAGGTGGCTTAAATACATGACTTATAATGATGCTATAAAATGAACAATGATAACTCAAGAGTAAATGTAGGTAAGAGTCAGTAGTATTGAACTAGCAAGTAAGTCAAGAGCTTGCAAAACACCCAAACCAATTAAATTAAATTAAAGCAAACATTTCATAGTTATCAAAAGAACATTCCTTCCCTTGCTATGTTTGTGTTTGCTCAAAGGAAAATCCACATGAGACATATTTGTCCTTGGAGTTGAGTTTTTATCCAGGCTGATGATGTAGGCCATGTCCTTAAAACCAAGAGGAATTTCTCTCCTGTACCATGTGCAGACATGTCCAGACAAAATGTGTTTCATTTCCTCCATGTTTTTTTTTCCTTTTTTTGAGGTGAAGGATATTCTTTAACCTGCATGTTTGGTTGAATTCGCTGGCTGTATGCCTTTCGTGTTGTGCTGTCTCTTTTGTTACATTGTCCTCAGCCTAAGGTGCAGTGTCATGACTGTCCGCACCGTCCTTTATGTCGTCTCCTCTGCACTTCAGTCCTGACAAAAAAACGCCAACTTTTACTAATCTGTGCTTTAATATGATACATTTGTACTGTTGTAGTCCATATCTGAAAAATGTCAGATTCAGTCAAGAGGATTAAATCCTCCTTCAAAGGCCCCTGCTTCCTTTTTTTTCTGACAATTAAGACAAGAGCACTGGTTGCACTTATCAAGAGACTTGGGCGATTTCCGCTTCCGCAGGTCCAAGGCTAACCACCTGCAACAGAAAGGGTTAAGATATGCTGAAAACGAGCACTAAGGCTTCATTTATGCTCACTGAACCTGTTCATTTCATTGGTGATATTTAATAAAGGACAGATATCTGAGGTAATAACACCTAACAGAAAGCACATTAAAAAAATGAAAGCACAAGATATTAGGAAATATTAGAAACACCTGCTGTTTTTGTAGTCAGATGAGATGAGACCAGGTGAAAATGATCATATTTCCATTTCCCCTTCTAAATTCACTTCATTCAAAAATAAAATTGATGGAGAAAAGGGGGTTCACCTCACCAGAAGCTATTTCATACTTTATAAAGCATAATTATTTACCGGGACCTGAGGGAAAACAGTCAAATCTCCACATTGGGGTCTGTGAATCCTTTTTTCCCCTCGTTCACAAGGACAGGCTTCTCCGTTCTCGTGTGCCAAACAAGTATCTGGAAACACAAACCACACTAACATTAGTAACATGCTGTTCCCTTAATGCACTCATTCAGTCTGCTCTCCCTTTGAGCTCCTACTCTGCCTCATGTTCTTCAAAACATTCAATTCCGGTCATAGATCCAATGGTACATTCACCACACCGCCACATGGTCTATCTGTGTGTAGAGAGCTACTTGAGCATGAACCATGCATTAGAAGGGAGGAAAGAGGAGTGTGTTATCTTACATATAATAATATGACACAGTCCTCTCAGCTCGGCCTCTCCTGACCGTAGGATAATGGCTACCTTCAAATGACAGTCGACTGAAAATGTTTCAAAACAGTATCTGTGGGCCTTTTGCCTTCGCAGCAGCTCTTCTGGGCATGCTATTGTGCTATCAAGCTTTCATACTGCGTTGATTTGGCCCCAGAGACTGGACAAACATCCAGGAAAAGGATAGCAAGGGGAACAGGGGAAGGGGAGAGAAAAAAAAAACTGAAAGTGTCAAGCTCATTTTCCCCTCTCTCCTCTGTGTCGGAACCCTCCTTCCTTTCATCTCGCCATAGCGGCATCCATGAATTATGCATAGGGCATGTTTGAAATGTGCCATGAGCCCACTCCCACTTTGCTCAGGTGTAGGGGGAGGTTAATAGTCACCCTGGCAGCTGAAGTTATAGATTATAAGAAAGAGAGATGCCCATGCACGACTTTCCTTTTTTTTTTTTCTTCCTCCTTCCCTGCCACCCCTTCTCTCTGTCCCCACGCTCATCTGTAATCTGTGTGATGTCCCTACCCCCCCACCCCAACCCCGCAAAAACTCCAATTCCGCTCTCTCAGCCATTCCCTGAATCCCCTCTTTTCATTTACCCGTCTGAATGGCTAGGGGAGAGCAGGAGAAAAAGCTGGCTGAAAGTGTCTCTCTCTCCCTTCCTCTCCCTTCTTTCTGTCTCTCATTCTTTGTCTGTGTGTGTGTGTGTGTGTGTGTGTAGGGGTGATTGCAGGGTGGATGCTGGCTAGCTCAAGCCCTCTGGCTGACTCCTCTTTGCGCAGAGAGAGGCTCAGTGTAGTGACCCAGACCAAGGGCCACAAGCAGGAATGGTGGAGTGGGCATGGAGCAGAACGTTGCTGCTGCTTCTGCGACCCTCAAGCCTCCTGCTCAAATGTATGAGTGTGTATGTGTGTGTGTGTGTGTGTGTGTGTGTGCAAATGCATGTGGGCAGAGCAAGAAACAAAATCAATGATATCCAACTTTTCAGGAACAAATTTACACTAGTTTACATCCTGACCGATCGGAACATCATCACGTATTTCATGGTATTCAGGCCATGGAACTACATTGATTTCTTGCCCAGTAACAGGAACATATGTGAGGATGTGCAAACCAGTGGCCTCATGAATGTGTTGATTTTTTTTCCTCCAGCTCAGGAAACTGAATCAAGTAAGTTTAAGGCATCAACAACTGACGATTTGTCATGTTTTCCTGATCAGTGACTTAATTTGGTTTTACAGCCGGCTACAGCCACATTTACTCGAGTACTGTAAATTGCAATTTTGAGATACTTTACTTTGCTTCTTTATACCTCTACTCCACTATATTTAAAAGGAAAATATTGTTACAGTTTTTCTCCACGATATATATTTTACAGCTATAGTTGCTCATTATTTCACAGATTAAGATTTTACATCCAAAACACATGATAAACTAACAAGAGATTAAACCAGTGGTTCCCAAGCTGTTTGGCACGTCCTTACAAAAAGCAGAGAGTAGATGTAGCTGCTTGTAATTGTATGCTTAAATGAAATCAGATTTGTGAACCAGAACTCATATATGATTAATCATCACATGACCCCTCAGATTTATCCTGTGACCCATTGGAGGGGCCAGACCCCTGGGTTGGGGACCCTGGACTACTACCCAACAGTATATAAAGAGGTTAAAAAAGGCTCCACATTGGCCACAATAACTTCTGCTTACATACTGATGTATCTGTACAATTAAATAAAATAAAGTTGTGTAAATCTATCAGTCTCTGTGTCCATTGTTGAACTGTACTTTTGAGCTACATTTTCCTGAAAATACTTTTTTACGATTAAGATTATAATGTGTAAGTATAAGTATTTTTACATTCATGTATTGGTACTTTTACTTTTACCTAAATACTTAAAGCAAGTTTAATTCCTTCAAAACCAGTTTTTACCATCTACACGCAGTTTAGCAAATCCCTGAACTACTAACTGCTCCTGTCAAGCTGCTTAACAGGATTACACATAAAAAGAGTAAATTACCTTAGTGCAATTGGCTGCTTTGGGCTCCAGGTCGTTGAGTGTGACAAGTTCCCGGAGCAAACTACTCTCCTGGTAGCCTCCCTTCACCCCACGAAGCTTAAAATACGCCTGTGGCTTGAAGAGGATGAGTCTCAGGTTGATGGCAAAGCCAGCCATGTCGATGGCAAAGGGCCGATGGGGGTCGAACACCGTCTTCCAACCGTAGACCTTTCCAGCTGCATTGACCTTGGGGGACTCGTACCGCAAGCCGCCCACAAAGGCCACAGGCCACACTGAAACTTTCCTAGTCGATCTCATCTAACGACAGGAGAGTCAGAAAGAGAAATGGAGGAGAGAAGAGAGCGGATTAGTCATCTGAAAAAGTGTACATGACAGTGAGACACAGTATTCGAGCATTAGCTGCCAGCGTTACAGCAGAGCATGGACGGAGGGTTTTTAGAGCTGCGGTGATTATTCATTCTAAAAGACGGTGAATGTTGACCAAGCTGCTGTGCCATGTGCAACTGACACACTGTTAGATGAAGGCAGATCACACACACTGTTCAGCAGCTGCCCTACAATGAGATGATTACACACAACCATCTTTAAAGGGAGTAAATGCGAACAGTGCCAAGAGGGTTTGAAGGAGCCAAACCATTAGAGCAAGTGGCTCAGGTCGCTGGTTGGCTGAGGAGATTCTTCAAGGTAGAGCACTGCCATCCTGCTCTTTTTTTCCTTTTTTTTTTTTTGTCCTTTAATCTCCCAACATCAAACGATCTTGCCGCCCTTTTCTTTGTCTGCCTCTCAGTGAGTGCCATTTGCAGGAGCTGCTGCAGTCATAAAAGATAAGTTTTTATAATGAGCGTAGTGGAAGGTTTAGAAACAGCAGTCATTTAATCAAATCCAATGCAGTAGGAATAATGATGCTGGTGTCTCATATTTAGAAGGTCTTTTTAAAGTAAAGGCATGTGCAGTATTGAGCATGTGTATCAATAGGGTACAGTGCCTGGATGCATACAGAAAATGTCTATATTCATCTCTATATGCATGCTAGTTTGCATCTGCATATTTGTTTATGGCACGTCCTGGTGCATATGAGCTGCTGTGTTAGATTGTGTGATCTGATGAGCTGCTGTGTGGTCATTTCAGGGGATCAGAGAGTAGCAGAGTTTGAACAGCATGAAGCAGGCTGGGGGCTTATGGGAATCCATAGATTTGAGCTTTAGGGAAAACGACTGTGCCAGGCATCCAGATAAGATTTGGCAGGATGGCAGGTCATAATGAGCACTGGGTGTTAATGAAATGGAAGAGAGATCAAGTACTTATATGCATGTGTCCATGTGATTGCGCTCCTAGAATTTTGTTTTTTTTTTGGCCAACACTGCATCTCATTACATTATTTTTCTCTCTGTTATGTGTCCTACATGTGGTTTTTCGTCAAAACAGTTTTTTCCCTACATTAACGCCTGGGTACAGTTAAAAATAAATTGCTGTTGGATGCTGAGGAGCTCCTCTAAGTACCATCCTCCACGCTGTCTCAACTGTTGCCAGGTATTTTGTAGCCAGGCCTTGACTGAATCTATCCACCATTTTGCTCAAACATCACCTGCCTGCTTCCCTTACAGACACAGGTTTGGCTTGAATCAAAAGGAAGCATAAATCAGGCTCTCTGCAGGCAATGTCAAGAGGCTTGTCACTTTCCCATCTATACTGAAAATGTGAAAATGAGTGTTCCGCCTGCTGCTTCTGGTGGGAATATCAGCCAGCGTAAAGCAGCACAAATCCCTCTTCTGCTGGCAGCCAAACAAATGAGCACGCAAGAAAAGTTCTTCCTTGCCCCATACTGATGAATATGATGTGTTTGTGCAGAGTTTTTATTGTTGTTGCTTCGGTTTGTTTGTGCATGCCTATGTGTGCATGTAAGCTCTGTTTCCTGCCCCACTTAGGGAGAAGCCCACAGAGACGAAGTGACCGTGTTTCAGAGTGGTAACAGTGGCAATACAAAGACAAGACATCACAAATTCTACCAGAGAAACAAAGGCAGGCATCCAGGTACAGTAATCAGTCCTTAAGGGTGCACAGAAGATAAAACAGAACTGTCATCCATTGCTGCCACTGGAGTCTGTGGATTATGTGTTAAACAATACAAAAGTACTGGAGTTATTTAGGTTTTGGGATTTTGATTAAAATTCTATTTGATTATATAAATTCTTTTAATTAAAAGTGTACTTTTCTAACTGATAAGCAAAATTAAGCTGATGGACGTCACAATTTGCTTGCAAACACTCTATTTCAAATGAAGTGTCTTTTGAACATACATTAAAATAAAGGTAGGGTGTTGTATCAGTAATACATCACCATCAGTTGATATGTTAAGAATATTAGAGATGAAACAAAAAATTATTGGCAACTATTTTGAAAATACTTCAGTCATTTTTCAAGCAAAACTAGTGACAAAAAATACAAAAATATTTGCTGATTCCAGCCTCTCAAATGAGAAGATCTGCTTTTCTTTGTCATTGAAATGTTAACATATATTAAGTATATAAGTAAGTTTAAAAGTTATAGTATAGTAAGTCATAAAAAGTCATAGTATAGTAAGGCATAGAAAAGTCATAGTATAATAGTGTCATAAAACATCATAGTATATTAATGCATAAAAAGTCATAGTATAGTAAGGCATAAATACATCATTGTACAGTAATGAATAAAAAGTCATAGTAATTCATAAAAAAGTCATACTATTATAGTATAGAAAGGCATAAAAAGTCATAGTTAGTCATAAAAAGTCAGTACAGTAAGGCGCATGACAAATGAATATTTTTTAGGTATGTTTCATGGATTAAGTGATTAATTGAAAAAATAATCAGCATATTAATCAATAATGAAAACAATTGATTGTTGTGGCCCTAAAGGTCATATATTAATATAATTTCAATATACAGTACATTCAGTATTTTGGTTGTGCTACTATTGTGACGCAGCATAGAGCTTTGTGGTTTGGGAAGGAAACATAACAATATTTCATATAGTTGTTTAGAGGGATGCACTGTCACTCTGGGAAATGAATTTGTCGTGACGATTGTTTAAGTTTTCATTAAGAAATGATTTAAAAAGTATACATTGAATAAAACACAGTATGTACCAAAGTCACAAATAGTTAGTGTTGGTGCTGGAATGAAAGAGTGAGTAAGACTGTGAGTATGAATAGGTGGCAACAATAGCAACGTCCTCCATAGCAGCACTGTGATGGAAGTTTAATTACAACAATTCCTGTCAGGATTTTTTTTTTTTTGTCAACTGCAAACTATTGTGAGAAGTCATTTGAAGTCTTCTGCATCTGTGTCAGTCTGTGGCAGCTGAGGTGAACTCCTGCTGCTCTGTACTGTACCTTACTGCTGCATCTGTAAAAGAACTGTGCACAAGCGTGGTTAGCAATTAAGTCTTTTTAATGCCACCTACTTTTAGACTTAATTAGTGTGTCAGCAGAAAAAGCGTGATGTAAATGTTGAAACTTTAGTTGTTCATAATGAAATATGACTCAAAAAGCTGGGTGAAATGACACAGGGTTATATAATTTCAATGGACAACTTATAAAATTATAAAATTAAAATATCAAATACATTTGTGGTTAAAAATGAGCATTTTTATGCTCACCACCAACAATGAAATTATTTCATATGCATACTAGAATTTGCTTTGAAAATGTAATTAAACATGATTCATAATCCTTCATGTGATAGAAACACAGGTTTGGATCATTTTATCATGCTTCATTTATCCTAAGAGATAGAGGGACACTTTGCAGCATGTAATGTTGCTGCACAGTCTATCTTTGTAAGAAAGACAAGACAAAGTCGTAATAAAAGCGTGTAACACTTTGAATTCCTCCAAAACAAAAATACACAACACTGAGTGATTTATGAGGCAGCTTTGTGCCCAGCCACTGCAGTCTTCTTGCTTCTCTGTCATGGAAGATAAAAACAGACATCTAATGTGACAAACCATGCAGAGTCAGAATAATTTAGCTGTACTGTTTTTGTGCAACCATCTCTGCTTCAGTTATTCAGTGGTCTGGTGTTTTTTCTTCATTTTGGGTAGAAGAATAAGAGCTGCATTCACTTTTTGAGGAGCTGCCCCTGATTTTACCAAACATGCCGGTGATAAAACATAGTTGTTAGTCTGTTAAATGAAAGTGATACATTCTCTCAGCAAACTGCTTTTGCATTGACTACCTCTATTACTGTCAACCTATATATATTATCACAAGCTGGGAGCTGTATTACATTATTTATATTTATTTATATTTAGCTGTAAACCTAAAACACGATTATTATATTGAGGATAAGCACAGATTTTGAGTGTGTGACGTTATTTCATTTAATTTTAATGTTTTTGCTCAGAGCATAACATATTGGCTTTCAGGGAAAATGTTTTTTCTAGGCTACAACTGTCTCAGGTCTATCCTAACTTTAGTTAAAACAGCTGTGAGGATTTACATTTTTTTTTTTTTTACTGTTTTCCATTGTCATCTAATATTTCATTTGGTTTTATCGCTACAGTTTGTCAGTATGTAACCAGCTCAAACTAGTTTTATATAGTTAAGAGTTAAAATTTCTCAAACTCAAAGAATTAGCTTACTTTAGATTAAATAGGACACAATGATATACCTGTTTTTAGCACATGGAGCAGTGCACATCACTCTTTTAACTGTGTTTCCACACTGAAAGAGTTACTTATATATATCTGTTGTCAAGCTGTTGAGACACTATGGTGTCAGCAAACTACTGAATTTTTACTGTGGTGTCAGCAAACTATCCTGTAGTTGCAGTCAGCTGTCTGCTTTCTGTCTATCTGGCTGTCACCTTCTCTTTTTCTCCTTTTCTTTTTCTATCCCTCCCTCTCCACCTCTCTCTCTCTTCTCTTACTTCCCCTCGGGGCCGTTACTCTGGCCTATAAATAGGTCTGTTTGAGGTGATGGAGAGCCTCAGAGGGAGACGGAGCACTTCGGCTGATTCCCAGAGAAAGGTAATGACAGGCCCCGTCAATACCCGGCGCTCCATTTACTACGGACCCTGTCTGCACTGCTAACAAGACTTGAGGCTAATACTCAGAGGACCTAGACCGTGTCCTCTCAGGTAATTCAACTCATGTCAAGATGGATGGCCTGAGATGTACTGATTACATGCCCAAACTTCTTTCCACTAGTTACAGCTCACTGGCTATGCTTGTTAAGAGCTAAAAAATGCTTCGAGTAACTTATCAAGAATTGATTGTTTAACCCCCCCTTATACCACAGATGCCTACAGTACAGTATGTGGCTGGGAAGTGCCCTGTAATATACTGTATGTTCCACTTCATATGTATCTTCATATTGAACTAAATTTATAAGGACTGATCCACAAGAAAACACATATTTAAAAAAATATATATACAACTCCAAAAGGAACATGCACACTTACATGCAGTCAAAATTCATGGACACGATATGATTGTGCAATTGGCCACCTCTATCCTTCCTACAGCCTATGTATATTTATTGATCAATGCCGGTCAGACGAATGGCTGCTGAGCTTTCAAGCTTTCCAAACAGGCAGAACCAGCCGACCTCAGTGTCTCAACTGGGAATAGTTAAATCTCCCAGGCTCCCTGAATTACTCACTGCTTGCTCTACACATGGTTTGTTCTTATGAAACTCAGGTAGACATCAGTGGTGTAGTATTTAAAAGGCAGACAGAGCTTGAGGATTTATGATAGTGGTGCAGAGTTGGCAAAAAAGAGGAAAGTTAGGTTTCTATATAGGGTAGAATTAGATTATTAGGCTTATGCATAAAGTTGTAAATATTTTAGAAGTTATGCTAAGGTGATTAGAATATGAGCAGGACTTCCATTTGTAAATGTAATCACACTAGAATCTATATGAAACTATGATTAAGCTAATTCAGGTATGTGTGTGCGCTAGCCAGTGTTTGCTGTTGGTGCAACAGCAAATATCCTCTCACCACAGCACATTTTATATAGGCCAAACAATACTGTGTATATAATAATAATAATGTGTCCTGTTTTGTTAGCCGTCTGTCAGTTTTCCCACAAATAAAATAGTGTTTGGAGAATAAACTTACAACTTACAAACTACATAGTTTTAGCACTCCTCCTAGCATGATTGGAGTGACACCTTTTCATCCAAGAGTTTGTAAAGGTGAGTGAGTTTGTAAGTGAAATATCAATAGAGAATTTTCTTTAAAAAGTAAGAAGTAAAAAAAAATGTATGTTTCCTACAGCTGCTCCTAGATGTCAGTAAAGAGCCATATTTTAGTTATAGTGCCTTTAATTGTCACGATTGCTATATGACCTGCATTAATAAAATGATACTTTGTTTACAGTGTGTAATATTTCATTCTTAACTTTTCTGTTCCAAGCACTTATACCATTGCTGGTAAATGAGTTCATTACAATTAATGAGAGTTTATGAAATGGATGTGAGTGATAAGGCAGCACTAACCTCCTCAAACAGCTCCAGGCTGTATGTGTTGTCATCATCAGCAAAGTAGACGATTCCAGCTTGACTGCTGTTGGCGTTGAAGGTCTCCCTCAGCCACCGCAGGGCCAGATTCCTCTGCATGGTCCCCCTGGGGATTCTGGGATCCCGAGTGTCACCCCGCAGCTTATAGTTCCTGGGCGTCTCTACATTGAGGTGGGTATAGTTAAGCCCAGTTTCTCGAAGGAGCCGCGTAACAAGAGGCGTTCTCCTTTGGGAGTCCTCCACCAGGATCCAGTGCAGGTTGGGAACATGGAGGAAGGTGTTTGCCAGCCGTGTCAGCTCCGCTTTCTGCACTGGTCGACTATATGTGGGGGTGATGATGTGGATGGTAGGCAGCACATCGGACCAGGGTGGAGGCCTTGTATACACGTACTCTGTCCTCACCACCTCCACAATGTCCTTATCTGAGGCACAGTATTCCTTGGAGTCCTGCGCCTGGCCACCTGCCTCCCTCTTGCCCTCGACACCATCATCTGCAGATTTGGGGATAAGAAGACATGTAAGGCATTAGTGCAACCTTGGGCTGCCCTTTGTATATTTGCCTCAGGTGACTTAAACCCAATGGGGGTAAAGTGTACCTGAGAGCCGATGGTGGCGGACTGCAAGCCTCTCTGGAATGATAAAGATCTCTTTTACTAGGTGGTGACAGGCTGCAAAAAGTGAAAGCAAGCACCGTGAGAGGATAACACAGCTGATGGACAGAGAGACAGGGCAAGACGAAGCAGGGGAGACATGAGGCTTGCTATTCCCACAGCATTGCCTTTGGGGTTTTCTTTATACAGAAAGAAAAAATTTGCGTATATGGATCCAGTGGACATGCCCTCTTTTTATGTTCAGACTCCGCCACAGACACCTTCTCATCCTCTGCCTCACCCCTTCCATTTTTCCAGCATGCTATGTTACTTTCCTTCAACAAATAGCTGTGAGTTGCTGTATTTTGCTGAATTAAGGAACTCCTAGTGTTTGCAGTTAAAATGTATTTTGCTTCAGAGATGCCTAAGCACGTGTAAAATTGTTATGATTGCTGTGAGCTTGCAGTTTGAAAGCTTTTGTAAACAAGCGGCAGTAACATAATGTTACCGACATTGCTACATGAAAGACATTGTGAGTGAGCACAAGCAGGTAAAGCACAGCTACTATGCTGGCTCACAGATAAACCCACAGAAAAGGCTTAATAAACTCACTAAAACCTTCATGTATGCACATTGGTAATATGGTGTTTGGATATTCAGGTAAAACCAAACAAATTAAAAAGTAGAAAATTTCTCATTAGTATATAGTATAGTATAGTATAGGAGTGAGACAAAGTGCAGACAAAGTCACAGACAGTTTCAGACTCAGAAAAAGATTATTGCTTTAGGTAGACAACACTAATTCTTTCTTTCTTTATAGCAAGAGCTTGTATATGCATTTTCGTTCTAGGGCTCATTTTAGGTTTTCAGGTTTAGGTAGTTGTTTTAAAGAGTTACTCAACACCAGGCTGAAAAGCAGCAGCACCTGTAACTACACTTAACAATGATATCACAGTGTCCTGGGGTGCACCTGTACATCACTGCAGGAAAGTGAGAAGCAGGTCAGCAGAAACAAGATTTTCAGGGGGTGTTCAAAATGAGGTGGAGTGGAAGAGGTTATGTTGAGTATCACTTTTTCCACTGGAAACTGTTTTAGAGTGCCATTAAGAAGAATCAGTGTGTAAAACTATGTATGCTCAGGGGAGATTCTATTATTAGTCAGCCTTTATGATCATGTTGGCTATTTGTCAGTCACGGCACAGGATTATCAAAGATCCTGTGGCACTACATTAATGTCATTTTGAAAAATGTGACCACTTATTCAAGATTTACATGTAAACAGTGGTGAATCAGCCAGAGTTGACACAAGTGATAAAGGCTGTGATATTTTGGCCCCAATAGTTTGGTCGTGATAGATAGACTATTATTATAGATTCATTAATGTTGTTAATTTCTTTTCATCGTGCCACAGCTAATGGCAATCTTTGTCACCGTTCTGCCTGAGCTCCATTTGCACCTCCAACATAAAGAGGATTTTTCTGCAGCACATAGATTAACACAATCTGCTGATGGCCAGATGTTCAACAGAGGCTGCCAGTGAGCCTGCTGCCAAAAAAACCTCTAGCTTCCCTTTTAAGAGCATAGAAAAGGACGCCAGTGGGCAGAGCTGGGTCAGATAGCACTGGCAAAAAAATATTTTCAATTTCTTAACACTTCATTGTGTCCTCACTGTATCTCACAGGAGCATAACATGACTTTATACATTTAACTGTAGACACCTTTACCATAAAATTTACCACGAGATTGGTCAAGAGAAAGTAATATACTCTTTTTTATGATTGCTGGCTAATCAGACACTATTTTAAGTGTTTCGATAACGTGCACATTATTGAAAATAATTGGAACATGATCTTCAGTCCCGACTGCTTCAGGTCATTTGTGTAAATCTGCTTGGTTTGTTAACCCCTGTATGAGCATTCATGACATTATAAGAAGAGGGCAAAGCGCTCTATTGATTTGCTGTCACTCTAATTTGGGTTTGTTTACTCAGCAGCATACTTGACATTTCACAACTGTTGGTTTGTGGGCTCTGGGGGATGATTGGAAGGATCATGAGTGTGTATTAATGACTAAGACTGGTGTGCAAACATGATATCATTATATGTGGATGCAAGATATTCCATAAAGCCAATCAAGCAGATACATTTATTACTTCAATTTGCTGATTAACAAACTCTGAAATTAATTTCTAAGTTGGGGAAATGTTTAAACCTGTGCAGTCATCACACCAAGGAGGAAATGTGGATTGTATGTGAGTGGGTAAACTGTGAATACATACTGAAATACTGAACGGGCATTGTTTTGTAACATACTGTGCAAGTATTATAAGCAGAGGAATTCCATTCAACTGACAGACTGCACAAAAATACTATACAAAAATCACTGCTAAAGGTATGAAATTGTGAATGTGATGGTAACTCCTAAACAATCCACACTGATGAGGTTTATGATGACTGGGCAAGTGTTATTGAAATCTGATGAAGCTGATGGTCATGGCCAGTGAGTGCCTCTAAATGAACGGTCTGTTGTCTAAACCTGAAGTCCAGTGTTAGATTCGAGGACCCACTTCAGGTTTGATATTGTCAGTGAAGTGCAGTGCACTGCATACCCTTGCGGATGGCGAGGAGTGGAGCTATAGCGCTTTGGTGCCAAACAGTGATGAGCAGAGTCCAGGGTAACACGATCAACACGATGGCAAGAATATCTCTTCTCTTCGGCATCTCCAGGATTGGTTATTTGGCTCGGCATTACCTGGAGATAAAAAGATTGATGTATTATCCTTATCATTATTTTTTTTATAACATACAGGTTTCAAGTCAAATTAAACCTGAACATTTTTCCATTAAATGTTCATGTGTTTTAGACAAATAACCCATACCACAATCATTAAACTTTCTGAGGCACACACATATAGTATGTTGCTGAATTACCTGCAAATGGGATGCACATTCTCAGGACATCCATAACCATAAGGACAAAAATGTCATTAAAAGTGAAAAAGAAGAGCGCGAGTGACACAAAAATTGAGTGATAGTCTACTTGTTGCTGTTAAAACTAAATAAAACATTTTGCTGCCACAGAGTCAGCTGCATTAGAGTCTCACCAAATATACATTATGACTGAGACAACGGAGCAGGTGAATGCTGTTATATCTATACAGAATTTGATTTAAAACTGTAACTGTAACTAAGTGTGCCAGCCAACGAAAGGAAGGTCAAAGTCACCGGAGGAGGCCACAGAACAGGAGCTTGTCCGCTCTGCCAACCCAGTGAGCTCATCGGTGCCATCGCTGAGAACGGGGACGTGACTTCATGCCCAGTGCTAAAACTAGTCACCAGCCAAATGGCAGGAAACTATGTCACCAGACTGTGGGTTGACTGTTTGGCAAATGTGCCCTTCCCTCTGTGTCCAGATCATTTGGTTCAGCTTTGTATCCCTTTGAAAATCTAATTACAACATTAAAGAAAATAACCAGGCATTAAGTGAAATAGCATGACTGTTCTTTAAAATTATCTGTTCTTTATACTGTATAACAGTTTGATTGAAACCAAACAGAAGAAAATCTTAGTACATAATGTAGTCCACTTTTTCATAAAGACTTAATCCATTATTATTTAAGTCTAAGAAACATACTGAATATCCTGAATGTATTTCCTATCTCCTATAAAACATTTGCAGCCTTCTTTTTTTTTTATGTTTTACATCTGTGCTGTTTATATGGGCATGCGGTTTTCTTTTCCTCTCTAAATTGCTTAATGCTACTTTTAGTGGCACAAACATTGACTGCCTCCTCCTTTAAAAGATAGAATTTTAGATCTAAGTGGAAATGATAGGTAATGGGTCAACCCAGATTCCAACCTGCTATCACTCTCAAATTGATCGAAAGGTTTTTTTCATTATCATCCCTATTTATTGATTTTTCTATTCTGTTTCCATGCTCACTCTACCCACCTCCAGACCAGGAGATAAAACACATCTTTATGGTTTCTAATACTGTTAAAGGCTTATTTATATATCTACCTCTCTTAAACACTATGGTAAAAACAAGCGGCAACCTCTGGAGCTAAAAAATGAGGCCAACATGGAAATACCAAAATCTGCAGTTCTTCAATTGGCCACTAGAGGCTGGCTCCAAAAGTGAGTCAATCCCCATAGACTCCCATACCCAAATGCCAAACTTTATAGCAGAAATAAACATGCAAAGAGGTGAAACTATTACTTATTTCCTCCTTCATGACAACTGTATGGGGGGGGGGGGTGAATTTTCATATAACGCTTTGAGTGGCAGGTGGGTGAGCATATGCTTGCTCTTCCTCTTTGCCTATATGTCACTGGCAAGATGGTGACTGCGAAGCAGCCCACTGAGCTTCAAAACTGCTCTTCAGAAACCTCACATCACGGACATCAAACACAGACATCATGGAGACTACATCCATCTTTATTTACAGTCTATGGGTAAAACATGTTAATTCAGTTAATCTCTGATGATGTTAGCTAAGCCACACACACCTCGTTGTTACTGCTCCTATGCCTTTCTGTCCTTCTGTCCTAGCTCGGCAGTCTGCAGCTATAACTATGGCAGAGTTACTGCTTGAAAATTGTTTGTAATTTTTGAAACAATGGACAAAAGACAAAGCAGGATTCTCATGATTTTGCCAGCTGAAACAACAGATTTTATCAACTGTAGCAAGCTAGCTAATTAAGCTAGTAGTGTTAGCCGCTTGCGTTAAAAATACTAACCGTTTCTCAATCCAGAGTAGGCCCATTTCCGACTCCCGTACTAAGATGTCACACATCAAGTTCACATAATAAACTATCCAGCTATGTACTTTGTAACCCTACAAACTAATGTAATTCATTAAAGATGTGTTTGTTAAAGATGTCTTGTATCTTTTAACCAGAGCAGAGGATCAGCTTGACAGAATTGCTGTGCCTAGTTACGGTTGCTAACTATGACTGGACAACTGCTGCTCAGGGGAGGTGTTTAACCGTGATGTTAAAGCAAATGAGTTTAGCCAACATTAAATTGTACTCAAATTTATATGGTTTAATAAAAAATTAAGGATTGGGGCTGTAAAGATGTGGAGAATAAGAGGACTGTCACTCCTCTTTTAATATTTTATGCACAGAATGTATGTTTCATGAATAACACCATTTCTCTCCTCTGCAATGCAAATTTTCATGCAATGGTCTGCTAGAAGTTGTGAAAAAATGTATTAATTAAAAATTATACACTTTATAGACAACAATTCTGCACTGTCATTTTAAATAAATAAGCATAATGACATGAAGACCTTGAACACCACCCTAACAGCATATGCAGTCATTTCATTAAGATCTTGAAAATGAACATTGAGTTGAATCAATACTTCTGACACAGTCTCGACAAACACCAAATTTGGTCTAATTCTTTTGTTTTTTCAGTGTCCACTCCCTGTATTTCATACCCACATGGCTCATTTACATTGAATTATGCTGATCCCTCACTGCAAAAATTCAGTTATTAACTGATCTGCTCAATTAATCAAAGGAAAAAAAATAGACATAATGTGAGCACAGGTGTTTGGCATATTCATTTCAGCTTTACACTTGAGGAAACAAGTCATCATGTTTCCCACAGTGATCCAGCTCCCACTGCTGGGAAAGGTGGCAGTATATTGACGCTTAATATAATTGTACAAGTCAATTATGTTTATTTAGCTCTGTACATAAATATACCATTAATGTTCAAGCCAGCAGGTAGAATAGTTCTGACAAAAACCCTACACCATATAAGTGGTTTCCACTGATAAAGAAATTGGTTCTGCAGAGTTTTAAAGCTCTATTTTTTCAGCAGAGAGGTGATTTACAGCAAAGTCCTCTGTGGGAAACATTACTGTGCATGGTCCTGCATGCTTAAGCAGAAGTACAATGAATTGTAAAGAAATGACATTACCCACATGCCAAATTCTTGAATGAGGGAATTTCAGTGTTAATGTCTTCCTTTGAGTCATGTTTTTGTAGGTACATAATCTTCCAGCACCACATGAAAAAAAGTAATCTATGTGCTTTGTTAAGTAAAAAGGTTTTATCATGTAAATGCTATGGATGATGAAAAATAAGCCTTTTCATAATCATAACCTTAAATACAACTACTTTACACATGTTTACAAATACTGAAAGTGAAAATCATTTTACAGCCTCTAAATGTGTAAAAACCCTTGTCTACTCTATCAAAAGCAAATACAGTTATTTCCTAAAGGAGAAAAAGCTTTGCGTCTGTAAATTGCCATAATCTGGAGGGCGCTCAGGGAGCACAAACCAACACCACTGCTGAACATCTTCCCACTAGACATCACCGCTATTGCTTATGTCTGTGAAGATTCTCAGTCATCCAGGTCATGGTATCTCTAAGTGCTACACGAACGCAACTAATGGCTCTCAGGGTGTTAAAGACCTCACAAGAGGTTAAAGAACTGGGACCCCCACCAGTCAGAACTAAAGAAGTCTTTTTCGGATGAGAGGTGACAGTTACCTGTGTAGCACTTAGAAATGCTTTACATTTTAATTTAAATGAATTTCTTGACCTTGTAATATCCTTTGGAAGTCAGAGGTAATCCAGCAATTTATTGCACGTCCATAAAGTTGAAGGATTTACAACAAAGGAAACAAATAATGATTGAAAAATTAAAGCAGCAGAGGCTGAGATATCCTGACTTTTATTAACCAATGTGAGTCAAAAACACCACATTGTACATTTCCCATAATGCAACTCGATAGCATCTTTTGTCAGACCCTCCCTGAAGATGATGTTACTATGTCATCATTAAGGTTATTTTTTCAGACTAGACAAAGCTCCTCCAGAGCCTGAGCAATTCTTTTAAAACTTTTGTCACAGGAACAATATACCTCGTGACCAGTAAACTGACCATGATGTGTAAAATCAGTGGAATGTTCCTTTAATAACATTGCTTGCATATGATTAATACAATCGTATGAATGCTTTGGATGCTTACCCACAGTTATAACTGGATCATGGCATCACTGGTGATGCGCAGCTGGGAAGTCCACACTGCATACTGGACGAGCTACGTAGCGGTGACATCCTCCATGTCACGTCAGCCGACCATTTCCTTTGCCTCTTCCTCTGCCGTGTCTACTCACGCAGACAGGCAACTCCAAGTCCAGACCTGGAAGATAAGGACATTTCAGTGAATATGATTCAGTGATAACAGATCACAGAGTGATGACAGAATCCCTCCCCACCCCGTCCCTCACTTCTCTCAATCACACCAACATGCAAGATTCAAGGACAGTTAGCCAAGTTTAAACAAAGCAGTATGGACAGGGTCTAAGGGTCAAATGCCTTACAGAGATTCTTAGCCATGGACACGGCTGAGTGGTGTGGCTGTGTATGACGTGTATTCATTATTCAACATCAAGGAGCCTGGGCTCAGCGTGAAGCAGAGTAGAAGTGCGTCAGTAAAGTAAATAACCCTAATCTTGATGCACATCATTCAGATTCACAGGAGGTGGTGGCATACCACTGCTGTGCTTCACAATGCAATGTTTCTGTTCATGTGTGAAATGTTGAAATACTGTATATATTTATATATGATTTTATCTCATTGAAGCCAATTTAAACTGCACAGACACACTCTGCATTTTTCTTTTTTCTTATGTCTAATGTGGAAACTGGAAGAGGGTTAGTCACAACTCTGCCGCTTGCCAAGAGTCTGGGGTGGGGGATGTTACAAAAATAAACTGGCATCATGTCTTATTCAAATACATCTGAGGGAATGCTGCTTCTATGGAGGCTTATGCTTCACTCAGCCAGTGATGTCTGCACGCTGCATCAGCTCCAGAACTGGATGGCCTATGACAGTTTTTTAGGGGCTTTATGATAGAAAACCATATAAACTGCAAATATGTATGTTTTGGGGGATTAACAGCAGGAGTCCCAGAATTATTTTACTGAGGCATGCTGTTGTATAAAAAGGCAAATAACCTGTAATGCAGTAGGGGGTGTTTGTGCTTGACGTGCACAAAATTTCAGAACAATCTATTTTCGGATAGCCCTGACCCATTGTCCAACTTCTCAAACTGAAGGAGCATGCATCTGAGGGTTGACATCAGTTGTGTGGAAAAAGGAATAAAAGATGAATACGAGAAACGGTCTTCATGGGTTAGTGAAGCTTCTGCAGTATTTGCTTTTTATGACAGCGACAAGCAAGAACTGTGACAAAAAAAATAACTAAACAGCAGCAATAGCAAGGCTTTACAATTGCTGCCAGGTACTGTCATGCATGCAAGCTCGCAATGACAGCGTTGTCGCTCTGATTTCTCCATAACACACTCCTCTCTTCTGTGCACTGTGATGGAGCTAAACAGGAGGAAACACAGTATAGTACAACAACCTGCCAAAATCCCAGACCCTCCAACAGGCCAATGCAGCGTCTCAGAGCTAAACACTTTTGAAAGAAAATATTTGGGAAGACAAAACAGCCGCTGCCAGCTGAGGGAGCTGGAACTCACAATGCTGCTGTGTACAGAACATGTAGAACTGAAAATGGTTGTCATGTTTTGTCATATGAATGCAGTTGGTTTTCATCTCTGGCACTGAGTTACTGTTGAGCTGAGCCATGCAAGATCAAGGACTTGTTTTGAAAGAAATAACTTGAAATTATATATCTACCCTCTGTTTTCATGCTAGCAGCATAGATTTAGGAGTGAATTGTAGTAACATTGGTGATTGCTTCAGGTCACAATTTTATTTGGTTAAAAACTTAAGTTTATGAACAAATTTCTACAAAATTAATGACATTCCCAACAGCCTCTGCTGTACTTCGTGCTTAGCACTAACTAGCAAATGATAGCATGGCATGCTAACAGATTAAATTAAGATGGAACACTCGTAAACATTACACCCACTAAGCAAAAGTTAGAAAAATATGAGAGTGGTATAGATCTTCTCATCTAAATTTCCACAAGAAAGCCAATAAGCAACTAAGTGTAACTCCCAAAAAGTTGAACGATTCTTAAACATTTTCATTGTGAGCTTGTTGCCATGCCAACAATTTTATTCTAATCTGTTTTGCCAGACTAACGTTCCTCCATCTCTGCTGACATCAGGCGGTAAAATCATAACAAATAGGTAGCACCAGCAGATAAGTGTGTAAAAAGAGACGGGCAGTGAGGCCTCCATACCCTGCAAGCACCCAGGTGGCCTGTTTATGTCTATGGCACCTGAATTGTGTGATGTGGCAAGAATACAGAGTTAAATCCCACACCACAGACTGCAGCAGCCAATGGCAGACAATGAAGCCTGACAGCCTTTCACATCAACACGAGTTAACCAGCTGTGAAGGGAACACCTGCCACTGATTAATAAAGAATCACAGTAACAATACCACGTGTGAAAATTGTTGTACTGATTGTTGAACTAACACCATTACCCCCTGAAAAGGTGAACCGGGGGGTGAAAACAATATGTTTCAGGTGGATTTCAGTGTGTCAGGGAAAATTGTACCGTAAGAGACAAAAATGGTGGGGAATCTGGACAACAGTATATCAGCCATATCTCAAATGTTCTCACTTGTTTTAAGACCTCGTGTGTTACAAAACACAGCAGGCTGTCTCTTTTTATGATCGCTGATTTCATGATAATCATTACAACAGTCTATTCATGAATACTTTTACTGAGCTCGGGTGGTAAATCCCATATTGTTCCTGTGTAGGGCTTATATGGTTTTATTTCCACAGATCATTTTAACTCATAGCCTTTTCTGTAACTGAGATGATTTATGAGATGGATGTTTTTGATGTAAAATATTATTCCTACAGCATAGGTAAGTAAAAACAAGAACCCAAGCAGCGCCAGCTACGATATTCTCCAAAACGCTGATTCATTTGAAAAAGAAAAAAAAAAAGAAGGTCCACTTAATAGCTTTTTCCCTGACTGTCAACTATATTTCATGTTCCTCCTCAGTGGACCATACTCAACTTTACTGTTATCACCTGTTATGAGATGACAGTATTTTAACACGTGTTAAATACATACTGTGTTGAAATATACTGAAATGCATCACTGTTGTTTGGGCTAAAACAATATTTTAATAGGCATCAGGCAGTAAACTTTGATAATTTATTACATAGTCCCTCTGTGTGAGAAATATATCAGAGGCATCAGGTCAAGACTGCTGACTCCCTCTTTCTTCTCAGTCTTCCCTCTCTTCCTCAGATTTGTAAAGCTGAGGCTTCAAAGACGGAGCAGGGGCAAGTTTCCAAGTTTGCAATCGAGTCTGCCTCTGACTTCTGAGCTCCCTCGGCCCTGACCATCTTATATTTCCCAAGGACCAATAACAACATCATCTTTTCCTTGCTTGCTTTGCCATGGCATCATTTTGATGTACTCTGCAGTCCGCAGGGAAGAGAGGATCTCTGGAGATAGTGTATACTGGTATGTCCAATCATTCACTTTCGTTTATGAATTCATTGGTTCGACTTGGTAAAACCCAGAACAGTTTTCAGGGACATCTGGGGAATCTTAGAGGATAAGTCACTGCAATAGATCATTATCGATGTTACTGTCACAACCCCAAAAAGCATCTTCACCTAGAGGTGTCATTAAAAGGGAAAATTTGAATCTGTGGGCATTGATTCAAACAGGCTTGATTGCTTTTGAAGTACAGTACGCCAGGAGCAGGTGATCTGTCTAAGCTTTTGCTGATGTTTTGCGTACCACATAGTCTTGCTTTTGGGTTTGAAGGAACAGAATCCTAATAACATCATCACCAACTTTTATAAAATGCAGGCATTAGGATTGGTGACACTGGTAAATTTTAATATAAATTGACAACTTACAATGCTGCACAGCCACATGGAAAACAGGACCTCACAAATTGTAGACTACACATGTCTTTGTATACTCAATTGCAGGTAGCGCGCCTTTCACTCTGAGAAAATACGATACAGCAATTAGCGTATGCATACAGTTTATTTAATGACCCTAACTTTATTCATATGCTCAATTTATTACTTTCTCTCTCTGCTCTGGCAAACTGTAAAATATAATGGACAAAAAAACAATTAGAGGCTGCCTCGTTAGTGCAGTCGAGAACAATCTTGTGTTTTAAAGACCAAGGTGCACTGAGACTTGAATCAGTTTGAATCTTTGTGTCTTCTCCTCACAAACTAATTAAACTCATTTGTGGGGGGATGGAGGTGGGGGGGGTGGGGGGGTGGGGGGTGGGGGCTGATGACATAATGTACAATTAATTCATTTTTTAATTAATTGTTAATTTGAAGTCTTGAGCAGAGCTGGCAATTATTTCACTTTTCACACTCTTAACAAGGGTATTTAAAGTTCTTGGACTTAAAACAGGCACAAAGCCGTCACGGATCCTCATGTGACTTGTGTTGGAGGGGGGCATTTCCTCCCTTTAAATTATACAAATGGGAAGATGTTCTAGTTCTGCTTTGCTTGTGCTTGCTGGGATACCATTCATATTTAAGGGTTGGGTTCAATGAAAGGTCGCCCTCATGCTAGTTTTGCATTACATGTCCCATCAATCCAATTCACACCTGCCATGGAGCGCTCTTCAAAACTGGATCCCTTCTCATGAAACAAGCCCCCGCTTTGAGTCAAGCTAATAATAGCATTGCAGGGACGGCAGCTACTGTATAAATACTGTGGTTGCCTGTGAGAGGAAAGACAGCTATGTTGTTTACGATCGTGTCATATTCTTAAGTTCATCTTAAATCATGCTGGCTGTAACTGACAGTAATGATCATAATTAATTCAGTACTATTTAGTGTGTAAAGCATGATTAATAGATGTATGCAAAATCCTGTCAATCTGAAATCAAACCGATTTTCTCATTTTGCTACACTGGAACAATCACTGTAAATGTTGTTTGATACAAAAATTAGCCAGGGAGTGTGGCAGCAAGTGCTGTTTCTCATGCTTGATTTAGATGACGATGGCTGTTTATTTTCAGGAAAACTTGAATAAGCCATTAGCTGTGAGCATTGGCCCTGATTGATTGCCCCGA